TATGTACCAGTCTAATCAAAGATTCTCCCAAGACATAGGCAGTGATATCAGTTTGTGTGTGTCCTGCTAGGAAGGATACTATAAGTATGCTCCCGTAGAAAAATTGTCTAATACTGTTTTGCGTGTGTGCACGTACACTTCTGTGTGTGTGTGTGTCTGCGTATGTTTAGGAGCAATGTCATGGTTTATAAATATATACTCCACCATTTACCTATGTCATTTTGCAGTTTGCTTTTTTTAATTTGCTGCAGTTTTAAACTGTGCTCTGTGGAATTGTGGGGGCTAAAAGCACGTGTGTCTCCAAGCACTTTTCACCACTTCCTTTAGTGCAGCTTTGCTTTAGATGTCTTACATGTGGGGCCTTTGGGTAAAACTTTGTAACAAAACAGCTTACAAAAAAAGCTGGCAAGCTGTTTTATTGTATTCTGCCTCTATTGCCTATTAAGAAAGGAAAACAAACAAGAATGAAAGTGCAGGTAGTAATGTCACAGTGCATCCATTTCCAGTACTTCAGTGGGGCGGAGGTGGAAGTCACAGGCGTGGCCGCCGAGGCAAACATGTAGCTTCAACAGGATGCTCGCCGGACTTCAGTCGACTGTGTTTTGATTCTAAGGGGGAAAAAATTAAACAACATGCACCAAAGGCAGATCATAACTCGGAGGTGTAAACCTGTGATGTGTCTCACTCTAGGTACGTCCTGGACGATCAGTACACAAGTTCTTCCGGTGCTAAGTTTCCTGTGAAGTGGTGTCCACCTGAGGTGTTTAATTACAGCCGCTTCAGCAGCAAGTCAGATGTCTGGTCGTTTGGTAAGACCCGTGGCCCGTTTTTACTTAACCTTGCTGAAGAGGAGGTGGGTTCATCGTTTGGTAATCCTCACCCTTTTCCAGGTGTCCTAATGTGGGAAGTATTCACTGAAGGCAGAATGCCCTTTGAGAAGAACACCAACTATGAAGTGGTAACCATGGTTACTCACGGCCACCGACTCCACAGGCCGAAATTGGCCTCCAAATACATATACGAAGTGATGCTGAGGTGTTGGCAGGAGGTATAGAATTTGGGGGGTGCTTTTAAAAAATGTCTCAAGCATTTATGGATCTGGGCTTGGTAGATTAATAATGTGTAGCCTTTATAGCCTAGTGAGTTGGTGTGTGTCTTTCACGATTTCACACTCTTTATAGGAAGCCAGCTGTCTTGTCCCAGTTCTCGATGCTGGGAAGGAGGATGTGAAGAGGTGGAAAAAGCTAATAATTAGGATAATGAATTCAGGCTGCCCCACTCCCGAGTGGGAGTCCTGCCACAGTTGCTCGAGTTAGAGACTCAGGGAGTAAGCCTGGGAAAGTGGCTCTTCTTTCAGTGGGCGTCTCGTATGGTTGAAATACCACTCCTTCACCAGAGAGGTATTTCCTTCTCCCATGTGCTTTCTCCTGTCCTTTTACTCACATTCCTTGGAAAGTTTTCCTTCCCTGCATATTGAAATGTCACCAGAATGACTTTTGAGAGATAGTGCTAATAATTATTATTGAAGATAATTACATTAGCTCACAGGGATTATGTGCTAGCCACGGTGCTAAATGCTTTAGATTTAGTTCTCAGAATAACCCTTTGAGGTGCAGGTGCTGTTGCTGGCACCACTCTGAGGACGGGAATACCGAGGCTCATGAAGTCGGTGCTCGCCCAAGGCCGCTCGGCCACAGGGAACCAGAGTCCTGTCTGACTCCGAAGCCCCTGCCCTCTGCCATTTGCTATAAGCCCCCTCAGAGCGTTGACTGGGATGGGCAGGGGCCTTCTGGCCAGGAAGCGGCACAAGGGGAAGAGAGGACAGCATGGGCAAAGGCAAGAAAGGCAGTAATGAACTTGGTGTGTGTACATGAGGGTGGAGATTGATTTGATTGGGCAGAGAGCCCGTGTGAGTGTTTTTCCGGGAAATGAAATTAGGTAGCAAGGAGGCAGGGGATGGGCAAATTTGCCACACTTGGTTTTCAGGCAGTAAGGAGCTCTGTCAGGTTCTCGAATGGGGGCGCAAGAGCAGTCAGTGGGAAGCCTGGTCTAGCGGCCGGCGGCCATAGGCCCCGGATAGATGAGACCCACTGGGAGACGCCTGCGCGTTCCAGTCCCAAAGCTGTGAGTGCCTGGCTCTGTGTGCTGTTATCCGAGTTTGGGAAGTCAGTTTTGGAATGGATTCCGGAACCCACAGCTTCTCTCTGATTTTTAATTGTAGAAACCAGAGGGAAGGCCTTCCTTTGAAGATTTGCTGCGCACGATAGATGAACTAGTGGAGTGCGAAGACACTTTTGGAAGACAAGGAGTGTTGTGACCAGCGGCTTCCAGCTTCCAAAGAGCAAGGAAGAAATGACACTTGGTGGCTAACTTTTAATTTATTTAGCACTTGGATGTCTAGATGGTTTTACTTATAAAGTGACAACACCTAAAGCATCTGCTTTTCGACCATCCTTAGCTGCATGACTGAATCTTCTGCATGATGGAGACACTGCCTTAGAGATGCTGATTGAAAGCACTCTTATCCATTCCGCAGGGCTCGCGTGCCCGCCAGGGGGCCGTGTTAGCTGCTGCCAGTGGGAGACCAGGGTATTGGGGAAGGGCAAGGGCGTGAGAGCCGTGTTCCAGCATGTCTCTTCCCTTGACCTTGTATGAAATCTGGGCCTGGGGCGCTGTCTAGAATGTGGGTTCTGTAGGAACCAGGAACCACTTTGGATAAGTACCCATCTTTTATTTTGAAAACATCTGTTTTCATGACTGCCATTAGTATTACATTACAAAACATTTGTATGCTGTATATATTGTAAATATATATAATATATAAAGTTATATATTTATAAGAAACATGTGTTTTCCTTTAATTGAAACTTTGAATTCTGCAATATATGCACTAACCTTTTTACGACTGGGAGTGGTACCTTATAGCTCTCACCTCCTTTCCCCTGGAGATCAAATATTCCATACCGAAGCAAAAAAAGTATGCCCCCCCCCCCCCAATCATTGCTGCCCTCTCCTCACTCAGGTAGACATGTCTGGGGTGCCTGAACAGCCAAGGGCACCGCTGGGCCCGTGATTGGACTGCGCAGCCCTGCTCATGGTCCCTGCAGCTGACTGGGGTTAGGTGGAAAATTGAACTACTGGCGATCAGTCAGTTTCTGCAGCTTGAGAATCTGCCCCAGGACACAGAGGCTGTGAGTGAGGTGTTGGGCTCTGGAATGGAGTGGCCTTCGCAGCAGAGGCTGCCCCGCTGTAAGCAGGAGCAGGAAAAACGGAGGGCGTGCTGTACTGAGCTGTCTCCCGTGGTTTTTGGGAGGGTTTTGGGCTTAGGCTCCTGGATCTGAGAGATTGCCTGTCATAGCCTCTCAGTAGACCCTGCAGTCGGGTTTGTTTGAGTGGGTTCCTGACTCTTAACAGTCTCTGGCTTAGACACCTGCTGAGTGAGAGCCTTCATCTTTCCTTGTGAGCCCAGGGGAGGGAAACCGTCTCCGTCATCAGGAGCAGAGGCCAGGTGGGTAAAAAGCTAAGGAAGACACGGGGCCTTTCTCCAGGATTCTGTCTGCTCTGGGGACAGCCCCGCTGGCTGTCCCCTGTGCTGGGGAGTGCTGTGTGAGCACACAGCTGCTGCCGGCTTCTCTGAGCAGCACCTCCGCAGTGACTCTGGGGAGCCGTCTCTTTCCCTTTCGGTCCTTCGATCCACCGAAGGCTTCTTCTAGCCTCTCTGATCCCTCTTACGATGGAAAGAAGTAAAATACCTATCCTAGGTCTGTCACAGTCTGTTTGCCACCTTCCTCCTCATCTTCCTGTTTCACCATGCCCCTGCCACAAAAACACGCACACACACCTTTTAACTGAATCGTAGTTCACTCAGGGAGTTGGTCGTATTCAAGTCATCCGCTGCTGTGATTGTCACACTTTTCCCCTCCCTTCCTCTCTCACCTTAACTCCTCCCTCCCCCTCCCATCCCCCTTCCATCCCCCTCCCATCCCCCTTCCATCCCCCTCCCATCCCCCTTCCATCCCCCTCCTATCCCCCCTTCCCTCTCTTTCTCCTTCCCTCCTTCTCTCCTTGCCTCCCTCCTTCCCTCCCCATCCTTCCCTTTTCACCTTGAGGAGCTGTGTTCGAAGTGCTCAAAGGCGCTGAGGAGAGTGAGGAGGAGCACAATCCTGGCACTAACTGTTACATTTACATTGGGTGTGGAAAACAAGGTAATACCTGGCACCATCTGGAAAATTTGTTTTCCAAAAATCTTTATATGTCTCACTAAAACTTAAAAAAAAAGTTTTTACGTAGAAGCAGAGCTAAGGCAAAAGGTAAAGTAAAAATAGAAGTATCCACCCAGAATGCTTAGAGATCTTAATCTATAAGGCAGGAAATAGGAAGGGCAATGTGAATGTGTTGTGTTTTCGCTAGAGTTGGTCCCTTTAGTTTCAGTGAATTTTTCTTTATATTTTCCAGTGGGACAAGGGAAAGCGCCCGGTGCATTTTGTATTGTTGTTTTTATGTTTCTTGGCCACACTCTAGTCCCTGTATGTGTACAGTTTCATTGGTTGCACGCTCCCCACCAGCATCCCCCCCAAAAAGGTGTCCTCATATGGTCCCTGAAGTGTCTGTACTGAGTGGGAGGACAGAGCATTCTAGACTTTGTATTCCAAAACCTAGAATCTGTTTCTGTTTCCACCACTGTGTCCCTTATCCTCTGCTTCTATTTCCTTCTGTCTCCAGGGAGGACAGTTTGATCTGCTGGTTTTTCAGGTCCCTTTTACCAAAATTCTGTGATTTCTTGAAAATGTTGTTTGCTGGAGTTGCCCACGCAGGTGGGAATGAGAAGCGACGTGCCCCACCCCCAGAGATCTGGATGCAGATTGGGGCGCTTTCTGATGCAGGCCATTGGGCTGTCATTCACATGCTGCTGAGGCTTCAGAACAGGAAAATGGGTGGGGCTGGCGTGGCCCATGAGACACACCGTGGGGGAGCTATGACTGCAGTTGAAAGATGTGTGTGTGTGACCAGAGCGCCGCTGCAGGACTGAAGCCGGTGTCGTCTGCCCTGGGCCGAAGTGCAGCCATGATTCTCTCCACCTGTAAGTGAGCCGGCCGTGTCAATTATCCCTGGGCTGCTTGGGGCGTGGTCCTCATCCGTGCACTCCAGAAGAGGTCTTCTGTAAGGCGCAGGGCTCATGACATCTGGAGGACAGTTCCCCCAGAGGTGACAGGGGTTGGTTTGTTATTTAAAGAATCGGTGTGGCGGTATCATTTTAGTAAATGCTCACCAGGGAGAAGGCAAAAGAAAGCAAAGCAAAAGCAGGGTCCTGAAATCTGTACAAGCGTGTAGAAAGGCAGTGAGCGAAGTGTTTTTAGAAGGATGCCTGGTGTTACCAACTCGGGTCGGAAGGCGAGGAGACCACGCTCTTGGTCTGGGTCTGCTGCAGCCTAGGAGGGCCACCTGTGGCACCTGCTTTGTGTCATGTTCTCATCTCTAAAATGGTGACTCTCTTTTTGCCTGCCTTCCAACCAGGTATCACACAGAAACAATAGATTAAAATGATAGACAGGTTCTTCCTGAACTTCATTTTGGAGTTGCTTCAGGAGACTGTTCAGTCCCATGTGCAGTTTTGGGAAATGCTTATTAAGTTAGCGGTCTGACTCAGAGGTCCTTATCATGCAAATAATTAAAAGTAGGGAAGAAAAACAGTCTTTGATTTTGATTCTAAGGAACCAAACTTCAACAAAGCTCTGTCACATCAGATGAAAGCAATCAAAGGCCAGCTAACAAAGTTTTCATGTTTCTGATTTTCAAGTGGCAATAGGAAAAAGTGATTGCAGCTTTCAAATGTTATCTGCCTAGCCCTGGTTAGGTTCACTTTCCGGTCAAGGCACATATAAGAAGCAACCAGTGAATGCATAAATAAGTGGAATAACAAATCGATGTCTCTCTCTCTCTCTCTCTCTTTCTTTCTCTCTCTCCCCCTCTTGCTCTCTAAAATGAATAAATTAAAAAATGAAAAAATAATGTTATCTGTTTAAACCAAATCACCTCATAGGACCCAACGCTTGCCAGTAGCATTTGTAAAAAAAAAAGTAATAAACCAGGTTGTTCCAGTTATACTGACCTGCATGTAAGTTAGGGCCTTGATCTTGCTGTGGGTAAAAACGGGGCTGCCTCCAATCAGAAGTGCAGGCCAAGCAGAGCAAGGCAGAAAGAGCAAAGAGGCAGCAGCCTCTTTCCCACCTCCCGGCAGTGGCAGGACAGAGATGAATGGTGGCTTCATAAAAACCCGTTTATCTAAAGCTATGTGAGCATCTGTTTTTCATTTCTGGTGAGGGCAGACCTAGAGAAGAGGCGATAAGTTATAATAGGAAGGGCTCAGCTCTATGTAAAATAAATAGTGGTGAGGGTCGGGACAGGAACTTGCAATTGCCCGAGGGACGAAATAAGTGACTACCTATTGGCGGGGTTGTGCTGGGGATCTTTCTGCCTGGCTCGGAAGGACATGGATGTGACCGACTCTCACTGTCCCTCCCAACTTATGATCATTTGATTTGATGGTAAGAATGCCTTCTTTTCTTTTGCTCTAAACTGCAGCTAGACTCGGCTCTTTCTTTCTTCTGGGTGGAACCGTGAGTATTTACTGTTGACATTAGAAAGCTAAGACAAGCCTCACAGCGTATTACTATGAATCAAAAAAAAAAAAAAGGGTTTGTGTTTGCCAGGCCAGGGGCATTTGCCACTGTTTGTTGCTTTAAGGGCTGTCGTAGAAGGCTGGCCGCGGAGTCCGCCGCAGGGCAGGAGCACTGGAGTGAGACAGTGATCGTACTGCATGTGGGGGAAGCCCAGGAGAGGCATGGGGCACGGCTCCAACGAGGTTCCGTGTGTGAAGTGTAACCCACATGGCTAGGCTTTCTACCAGCTACCAGTTGCCCTGAGAACGGCCCCAGTTCAGGGGTGTTAGAGGACATGGTGCAGGTGATAGAGCTGGGGGCTCAAAAAGCTCACCTCTTTCCTCCCTTCCACCTCATTTTCATCTAAGTTCTCAGCCTTTCTTTTCCTTTCAATGTATAAATGAAAGGGGATAATTTATATAAATGGTTCTGAAGTATCAGCATGCCTAGAGTGCACCTGGGATGCTGTTGAAATGCAAGTTTCTGGACTCAACTGCATAATCTGCAGAGTGCGGTCCGGACCCCTTAATCACAGTGCGATTAAGAGGCCCTTTCTAGGGCCTCTGTTTTCAGAGCCTTCTCTTGTTCCTTATTGCATGTGATTCCCACACCAGCCCTGCCAAGTTAGCATCTTCTGTTGTTACTGTATGAGGACAAACAGCGTGGCTGCCCAGAGAGGCGCTAAGATGGTCCCCCGTGATGTCCACCCCTTGGTATCCACACCCTGTGCACTCCCTCTCCATGAGTATGAATCGAGCCTGGTAACTTCTCATGAATGGAATGTTGTGAAAATGATGCAGTATAACTTCTGAGACAAAGTTGCAAAGATCCCATGGCTTCTGCCCTAGTGCTCTTGGGCTGTCTGTCTCTTGGGTCACCTGCCATGCTGTGAGTAGCCTCTGGAGACTGCCCATCACAAGAACCAGGGCTCCAAGGCCTGCTGACTGCAGTGCGAGTGAACTTGGAAGTGGATTCTCCAGCTCAGCCCAGCTAAGCTGTGCCTGGACTCCTGACCCACAGAAATTGTGAGGCCATAAATGTTTTATGCCTCTAAGTTTGGGGAGAATTTGTTTCCAACATTAGATAACTAATTCAGTGCCAAAACGAGAAAGAGCTGTGGGCTACCACTTGGACTCAGGCTGGAGCCAAATTCTCAGAAACAGAGAATTTCTCAATGCTGATATGGACATGAGTACACAGGGGTCTTTTCTTTGGTTGGTAAATCATTTCGCTGTTATCCCCCTGCACTGCCTGTCATATTTATGGTCATGGTAGCCACTGTCGCCATATCAGTGAGGGTTCCATGTCTTCTCATGCGCTGACCTGCAGATTCCCCCGTTGCTCTCAGCGATGCCCACCTGGCCAGCATCGCCTGGCCATTGCCTGCCCGCCGAGTGGCACTGAGCGCAGCTTCCGGTACGGTGCTGACCACACCGGCAGGGCTGGTGGCCCGGGGCTTCTTCACATCACAAGCTGGCCAGATGGCTTCGGTGTGATTTCTGTGTGTGCTGCAGAAACTCGGCTCACAGACGACAACAGCCTTCTAGGAAACAACTACTCTGAGACCCGGGGGCGGGGCGGACTTGTGTGCAAGATGGCTGCCTGCAGCTCACATCAGCTCATTACCGGGGAGACAGCAAAATTCCTGCACAGAGCAGACGAGGGCTCCGGGGTGCTGGAATGTTCTGGGGTGAGGGGTCCCCCTGGCCAGAGCTGTGAACAGATGAGCAGTCTTCAGGGAGCCTCTGCTTTTCCTTCGAGCACCCTTTGCTCCCAGAAACACCATCTTCTCTGGTGCCCAGTGACCTTCTAACCTCCCAGGCTTCTAGAATCTCCTTACCCCTTCCTCACCCTCAGCACCCTTTAGCCCCAGCCAGACCAAGCACTGTTCTAATCTTCCACCCAAATTTATCCACTTACTGTCCCATGAGTTAGGTACCTGTTTTCTGTTAGTAAGCAATGAGTCCCTTAATGTAGTTACTCCTCTTACTTCAAGGTTTCACAGACAAGGATACTGTTAAAAACAAGTTTGAAAATCTGGCATAGAGTTGTTAGTTTATTTTGCCCATAGGTTTAAAAAGATTAACATCTATGGTGACCATCAGTTCCTAGAAGAATGACCATTTCAATATCAAAAAGAAATACACATAGGGGTGTTCTTTCAGCATTCTTGTTCAATGTGTTCTTTGAATGTCAAAAGGAGGCATGCACACAAAACAAGAATAATTTAACACTCCAATATATAGACTGTGGACTCAGGACAGCTTCCTAAAATGAAAAAAATGAAAATGTTAGTGTTTCTCTCCCCTCCCTTCCCTTCTTCCTCCTTCATTGGTGTGGATTCTTGGCTTGGCATTTGGAAAGCCTCTTCTGGTGCTTAGTCAGAGGTAGAAATCCATGATAAATAAAGCTAGTTATGTGTCACACCTCCCAGATAACAGGTTAAATCAATGAAAATGTGTCTGTCTTCAAGAGGCCCCTAAGAGAGATAGAGTTCTTCCTGGCTGGTGTGGCTCAGTGGATTGAGTGCCTGCTTGCCAACCAAACGGTTGCTGGTTCAATTCCCAGTTAGGGCACATGCCTGGGTTGTGGGCCAGGTCCCCAGTGGGGGCACATGAGAGACAACCACCCACTGATGTTTCTCTCCCTCTCTTTCTTACTCTCTTCTCCTCTCTAAAAATAAATAAATAAAATCTTAAAAAAAGGGAGAAAGTTCTGTGGTGGGAATTTATGACAGTAATGAGGGAGTTTCGCCTTTCAGTAAATTTCTGAAGAAAAAAAAAGGCATGTTTTGCAGTGAGCTTAGAGGCGCAGCTCTAATCACCCAGAGAGCTGTTTTCTCCAAAGCCACAGGTTTTCAAGCTGCAAATGCAGTTGGCACCAGAATTCCTTGGCTTAAAGCCACGACCTGGAGTACGTGGGTGGGCGACTATCCGGCCCGAGAGTTCGGGGCAACTCTCGAAACTGAGCCAGTTACTCATGTTTTCAAATAAAAATCTGTAGCTATCTGCTAGTTATTGTGACAAAATTAAGGAGGAATGAATTTCACTTGAACCACTGATTCAAAATGAAACTCTGACATCGGAAATGCCAGGGGATGAACACGAGGTTACACTGTTACATAAACCTCAAAACATTAGAAACGGAAGGTGCGCCACCGGCGTAGCTTCCCAGACAGCAGTGGCGCACAGCTTTTCATCGAGTGTTTGTTTGTTGTGCTGAAAGGTGGCCGTAGGAGCGGTTCTGGGAAGCGGTGCTTCTCACATTCATTCCCTTCCAGCGCCCCCTGGTGGAAACCCGGTCTCAGAAAGAGCCGTGGTGTAGCCCGGGGAGGGGAAAGGAATGCTAACCAGGCACGGGTGAGAGGAGACGCAAGCCTTCCCAGAAAAGAACACAAATACCAAATAAAATGAGAGGCTGC